TTTTTCCTTTTGAGTTTTTATTAGGTTTGGCAGCAAAAGAGACTTTACAGATTTACCATAAAAAGTTCTCCTATTATCAAATAAGCCAACAATAATCTCTTATTGTTTCTGATTAGGGTCCTAAGAATCAATGACTGTGTTATAGCCAGATTCTAGGAAAATAATGGGTAAGGTGGAATAATTCCTTCTTAGAGGAAGTTGTGGACTAGTGCATGAAAAATCTCTGCTCATTTAAATGTATGCAAATAAAATGGATGCCTTTTCTTTTTTCTTTATCAGGTCATTACATGAGTTACTAGCTGTAAAATTGGCAGACAATTAAACAGAATACTTTGACAAGTACTGCAGTTTAAAGACTCCAGTAGATTTCCTATAGTGTTCACTATGGGAGCTGATTCAAATCACTACACACTTTGGACACTAAGTTTGGAACTTAAAAAACACTGAAGCTTGCTGGCAACAGTCTGTTATAGCTGGCCATTAATGCTGATACCAACAGAAAGATTCCTTCGTTAGCTGTAACAAGTACTGCATTTCAGCAGCATGTAAATACATAAAATCCATTTCCTAGCATGGAGAGGATATGGGATCTGTTTGCAAATATTCATGCCTACATTCTGCACAAACAAGTCAATGTGCAAACTAGCTACACTTCTGTGCTTTTGACGTAGATTATTTCAAGTGAACAATATGTATTGTAAATACAAACCCAGTAAGTGCTTCTGCAATGATCCACTAACATTAGATCAAAGGTATCTTGTGGTTCTCCCATTTGTGAAGGTACAGCTAGGCTAGACCACGACAGCATTAAATGGATAGTTTCATTAACCAGCATGTGATTTTCTTCAAATCAAGTCTATGGTGTTTTCTTGATATCATTATTATCATACCTTCTGAGGGCTAATCTGCTTTCTCTTGTTAGACAGAAGTCACCCTCCTTGATCAGCTTTAGCTGACAGGTTTTGACAATGCCATAGTCTCCATCAGATGCAGTTATCTGTGTCTTCCTGATCTCTGCTCAGGCCTGGAGCACACAGAACACCCTCTGCAGGGTTTAGCCCATAAGGATTACTGAAGATTAAATTTGCAAAACAGATAAAGCTCATCAGCCCTGCTGTCTAAACTCAAGCCTGAGATGTGCTGGGTAGTCCCACTTCATTTGAGGGGTAATACTGTAATTCACAGCAAAGTCACTTGGAGATTTCAGGTTGGAAACTCCATTTTACTCCATTTCTGCATACCATTGTCTACAAACATGGTCAAGTTCTGGCAGAAGGTTCCTCCACATGAAGTCCCTTCACAGGATAAAAATAGATCATTAGCTTACCAAGTATGACACTCTGTGTTTAGAAGAGCTTTTCCAAATCATCATCATCACCAAATAATGGCTCTTAAATCTCTAGAGGGCACCAAACAAATGTCTTTTACTTACGCCAGCTTTCCCCTTCTGGTTTTTAAGAATAAATTGTACATAAATCCTTCACCCTACATTGCAAGCTGTTGGCAGAGCCCACTTCTCTCTTCTGTCATTCTTTGGATATTTAAAACTATTACTTCCTGTTCTTGAGATTTATAGCCCCTTGTCAATCATTTTAACCATATCTGAACATATTTATTCATTTTAACTAAGCAAAAGTAGATATAATTATACCTCAACAGATTTGCTGTTTCATTTTGCAGACAGGTAATCTGATTTGAAGAAAAATTTTAGACAGCCATGCACTCTCTGTTTAAGAAAGACTCTTAAATAGAAAAAGGAACAGAGAGAAAAACAGACCTGATCAGAAAATGTGAACAGAAACCTGAGAGAGGGCATGATGGAGGATAAATAGGATAGAAAAGAAAAACATAATGCTGTGGGAAAGGGCCTCAAAAGAAAAGATCTAAGTGACACTGGTTTCCCAGATAAGTTATCCATACATATGTTTGGATATGGGTTTGTAAGAATCCAGTTTCTGATAGACAAGGGCTGTGTGTTCACTTATGGGTTGCCTTAGATTCTTATTTCTTGTCATACTGAGTTTGGAACTTCTTTGAGTGAAACTGTGTAATCACTACACTCAAAGTTCCCTTTATCCACATCCTCATCCATTCTTTTCAATAAATGAAAACCTGTTTCTTGGTGTTTTAATCCTCACAACCCCATTTACGTTTTCTTTCCTTGCTACTGTAGGAAAAGTATGACTTTTGTGGTTATGGCTGTTTAGACCATGATAAAGGTGCAACATCATCTATGCAAAGCTGCCCACAGTCTCTAAACACCAACAGAGCAGTTCCAAAACCAGATTAATTCTTTAATTAGTTCAACTGCCTGCAGGCTGATATAATATAATAGGATAAAAAAATACAGCAATACAAAGACCTTCTACAGAGCTCTGAGTAGTAGGTGTGTGTACTCACATCAGTCAGAAATCATGGGATGAGAATAAAGTTCTGTGGAACTGCTTTGTTGAACATGCTAGTGCTTTGCCTTTCCTGAAAACCATAGAAAATCTAAAATAAGTCATCAATAAAAGGAGATACAAATTGGGACTTAGACAGCAGTGTGTTATATGCATTCTTCTTGTTCCTTTCATGGTTGGAGCCAGGAGAGCATATTGTATTTTAAAATAATAATTTCCCTAATATAATAGTAAAAGGATAGAAAAGAAATGGATTTTCCTATACAGAAAGAAAACTGAAACTGAGATCTACTTGCAGTTATTAGATGGCAAAAAGGTAATAATAAATAAGCACTGTTCAGAATTCTTTATAAAATGTCATTAATTTATAAATCCAGCTTGAAATACAGTGAAGCTTAGAACCTTTGGGACAGTTTTATTGCTCCTATTTAAGTGAGGACAAGACAAGTAAACTGCTATATGCATGTTATATATATGTATAGATAGTCTATTGTATAACATAATTTTTTCATAGCAGCTTATTCTGCAACAGGATCTGTGAAAACACTCACAGATTTATGAGTACAGATTTGAGAATTTGCTTGAAAAGAAACAAAAATAAAGTCTCTTTTTGATGTTAATCTTTCTAGGCATATTTGGACATGTTTTGAAGAGGAAAAATCCTGATAGATTCTCTTTTTCTTACTTCTTGCTTAAAAAATAAAAATAAATAAAAGAGTATAATATTAACCCATTCATTAATATTAAAGTTGTTTTTAGCCATTCAATAACACTTTTGTTAATAAAATAGTTGAGGAAGTTTGGTCATTCCTAGTTCTCAGACACTACCATGCTATGTCTAGACTCAGCAGGGATGTTAGCATCAGTTTATACAGAACTTGGGGCAGGATGGAGTCTAGGGAGGAGAGAAGAGCTGTGACACAAGTGCATGTAATTCAGCTCTGCAACCAAAGTGGTGATAGCAACATGATCACTGCTTCCAATGCTAAAAGTGGTGCTTTGAAGGAAAACATCTGATTCCAGGTCTATTTAACAGATGGGCTTCTTCCCTGAGACTGAACTTCTAGTGGTTAGAACAGTGAACTAACTGCTTTAAGAACATCATCTAACTACCAGGCTAACCTTGAGTTCAAAGGCTCCAAGTGTGCTAGAAGCATTCACTCAGACAAGGAGATGAGATCAACCAGAGTGAAAGGGATATTGTTTTTGTTATCTTTACAGTGTCACCTCATCACATGGAGAAGTTTCCCAAAACCAAGAGAGATCATGGTCAATATAGCTGCTGCCCAGGATTCCCGTATGAGGTAGGTTGATTGACTGTGCATTTTTTTCTGATGAAGTGATTGTGAAATTAAATCTTGGATCTTGAAAAGATTTATTAATTTTGACACCAACATTGGCACTGAGGAGAAACGTTGTTCCTCAGCTAGTCTGGGAGATTGCTGTATTCTGGATTGATGTCAAACAGATTGGAGAGCAAGGTGCAGCTGCTGTCATCAAAAAGCCCAGCTAACTTGTCCTTCTCGTTCCTGAAAATTGACTGAAGATCACTTTGTCTTCAGGCATCTTTTGTTCATGTAGTGCAATTTTCCTAACAGGATGACCTTTAAAGTAATGATATTTATCCACCATTTCAATCAGCGTACTTCGGGTCTGTGATTGTACTTTTAGGCAAACATCAACAAGCATAGGACAGATACATTGGAGGATTTAGATAAAATACAGAGTCCTGGAAGAAGCAGTGTGGCTCCCTATAAAATACACAGGGAAACACTGTTGTCTTAGGGTAGAAGCAAAGCATCCAGCCCCCTATGAAAGAGCCACACACAAATATTGACGATGTGTCTCGCAACACTTCTGCTTCTGCTTTACAATAGCTAGCAACTGTATGGATGATGGGAGTTCAATTTAATTATCTGAGGCAGTTCAGAGATAGCTTTTTATCCTGCAGATTAATCAGCAGGCTGTCCATGCAGGGCACTCTTTCCCTTCCCAGTGGATTGCACCTGCAGTACAGAAGGTGTAAGGTTCATTTGGCCAATGTGAGAACACACAAGAGGGAACCTGGCACTGGAGATTACTGATTAGGAAGAGAATCAGGAGCCTTACATTGAAAAGAAAATATATGAGATGGGTTCTTGTATAAGATAAACTGTTTGAGATGAGGGATCTCCATTTTCACATGATTGAAAGTCGTGGAGTTCACATTCCTTTAGTCAGGGAGGTATCCAGGGAGCTCTTGTCTTAACCAAGGGGTATCTGTTTGAGATGACAATTTAGATTTTAGGTGCCTTAAATTCCCTCAATATCCCATTACAGGCAGTGGTATGGAATCTAAATGTAAGGATTATATGTCTTAATGTTACAGCATCACATTCAGTAAGTTGAGACTAACAAGCATCTGCCACTACTACCATCCAGAGGCTTTAGCTTAAAATTTCTGATTGCATCCCTAACTGTGTAGTCATGAGACATAGCAGGGGATTCAGATGTGCTCTTCAGTAGCCAGAGACACACTCGAGTGAATTACTAATCTCCCCGGACACCTGGCATGCAGATAATGACTTTTGCATGTGCAGCCTGATCATCCACCTGGGTAAATCGTGTCCTTCCTCCCTTTTCTGTGGCAGGGGGACTTTAAAGCTCCTATTTGAAGCTCCTCTGTCAGTATTGGCATGGCTAGATCCTCCAGAGTACTCACAGCTGGGCTGCCTTTTAACAGTCTTTCCTTCTAAAAGGCAGAAATGATGAGTTCAGCAACATTAGTCTAAGCTGATAAAATTCACGGGCAAAAATGGCAGTCCAAAATGATCCTTCAGAGCAGCAGCTGAGCTATAATTTAGGATATAAAGCCTGGTGGCTTGGCTGCATGAGATTTCTGACTGTTGTGGCTTTGGCCTGCTCTTCCAGCCACAAGCCAGCACTGCTGCTTAAGCTGGAACACTGAGCTTTAAGGAAGAGGAGCACTTCAGCATCAGCAGCATACACATGGGGTAAGAGAGATCGTGTTCTAGGGCCAGCAGGATCCTGCTCTCCCCTCTCCTTGGTGGTCTGCCTCTGTCTTTGCTGGGAGCTCCTCCTGCCTCCAGTAGCAGCCTAGTGCTTCACTGGTATGCACTCACCTCACCAACAGTACACCGCACTGGTGAAATTGCAGCTTATTGCTCCTCAAACAGCAGTGCTGAGTCCTACAGGTATTGTACAGCTGTACACAGCTGTTGACAAGGCCTTGTTTAACCTACTCTGCATTCAAGTGGGCAATGGCTGCTCTATGCAGACAGCAGACAGAAGGATGTACACACGTAAAAGAAGAAAAGGATTCCCCCAGAGACATTCTAAAATCTGACCTAGAAGCCACTGGTGTGTCAGTCCAACCCTTCACTTCTAAATATACATTTGGGGCTCTTGCTCCATCTGAGTAACTGTGATGAATCCACGAGTGAATGAGGTCCTTCTATCTCCTATCAGTAGTAAAGAAGCTTCCAACAGGAAGAATGAGAACTTCCCTGTGTCTCTTCAGAAAATAGAAAGGTGAGGACCGGTCACAGTTCCTATAGTTCCCCTTGTAGCTCCACTTACCTATCTATGAAATATGGTAAAATACCGTACTTGGTCCCAACATTTACACTTTGCCATTCAGACAATCTTGACATCCTGTAACACTATCGTTGCATCAGAAATGAAGGACCATGTAGCCAAGGTAGCGGATAGACTGTTTTGCTTTAAAGAGATAAAATAGTTTTACATTTCTTGTGTAAGCTTCGTATTTCTTGTTGCTCGTGCGTGTTTGACTGGATAGGACTTTACGAGGTTATCTATGAGTACGCAGGGGAGAGGAAATCAGTAGACTACCTTGTAGATAGTCATTAAAACAGTTTACAGAAGAGTCCATTAGTCTTCCCTTAAAACACCCAGTTCTCCTCTGCTTTACACTTAGCGCTGGCACTGTCCTTGAGCTTCAAAAGGGTTTTTGCTCCAATTTGTCCAAGGAGTAACTGTGGTCCGTTCCAGCACTGCCTTTGCTTTTTCTGAGGTTCTTATATTTGTCAGGTATAGGTGAATAACTGACAGAGGTGGAAAGTCCATCAGTCTTCCACTCCATATAAATAATTTGAAACCATGGAGTGTTTTCTTTGGCTTCATGGTTGTTTTTGTTGTTTCATTTTGTTTTGTTTTGTTTTTAAGATCTTATGCTAGCTTTTCTTTTCATGTGCATTTTGAAGAGGAGGCCATCTTCAGGGAATCTTGCATTAGCTTATTTTATGTTTGTTTATCAGATGTTTTCTGTAAGAAACTGCTAATTAATTGCTAATTGATAAAAATGAAATAGGCTGCCAGAATTCCCCGAAGCAGCATGCAGCAGCTGAAGCCAGCACTTTGGAGAAGAAGCTTTTCCAAGGGCTCTTGGTCTAATGAATCCATTGACCCAATAGGTCAATTGCCTCTTCTCATTCATGATTTTGTACCTCTTTATACCTTACACATCTACACATATTACTAACCCCTAATGCAGCTGTTGTAAACAATGAAGAAATGAAACCACATGTGTGCTTCTAAGGAACTCAGAATTTTGGCTGAAAGGTAAGATTTTGACGGGTTCTGTTTTGTTGGTACTGTTTTGATTACTTGACCTCATTGACCAAATTGAATATGTAGATGTCAAATATTTGATTTCTACCCTGTGTCTAAAGATAAAGCACAAAGACATTCTAAAGGTACAAAACTCATCTATTAATAAAAGTGTGTTTCAATTGTATTGTTTTCCCTCTCTAGCAGAATTAAATGACATGAAGCCACTCCTATAAGTCAGGCTCCAGAGAGACAGAAGCCCTTCCAAGAACAGCTGTGCCTTCATTGCAGAAACATCTATCAAATAACATCACGGACTCAGCCTTTTTTCTTTTTGATTTAATAGGAATGAACTCACTGCAATACTAGACTGTCACAGGTTCATCAGCTATCCTGGACCCTGACTAAGTGTTCATTTCTCTGTCTGATGAAGTGTTTCTGTCTGATGAAAAATAACAACAGGAGGCCACCGTTTTGAGACAATGTTTTGTTGCACTTAATCTGTCTCATCAACATTCAGATTCAAACGCCAAGAAGACTTAGTCATCTGATGAAACTGTGTAGGTACTTTGTGAATAAAAGAGTATCTATATGTGTTTAAATATTTATTGCATCTGGGCCAAAGAGTAGATCTATTTGGTTCAATTTTATTTTAAATGAAAGAGGAGAATTGAGGGAGTGATCGGGCATGACACTTATGTAGAATTGTGTGGATGATTTTTTTCTGATTTGGTAATCAGGAAAAGAACAATTCCTGAAGATCCAGCCTGCAAATAAACTTCTAATTTTTCACTCCGAAAAAGGAAAGGTAAACTTTCTCCCGAGCATTTTTGTTTCATTTTTTAACCTTTCAAAATTAGGTAAATTTATTGTTAAAATGTCACTTCAAGAGAGACAAATAGTAATACGAATTTACAAATCATTTTTCATAACCCATATCAGCTTTGTTAATGAAAAAAAAAAAGAGTTGCATGCAGTTTTTATTTCCAGATCCAGCTTTATTTTAAATCTTCTGAATGTTTCTCACTATTATTTCTCAGTTATATAACATTTCTAGAATTTAAATACTTTAACTGAAATTCTATTTTTGAGCATCAATCATAGATTGAATATTTTAATTGCTGACAAGATACTCTAGCCATTTTTTAATATGCACATCAGTGGAAAATGTATTCTCTCAGTTACCTAAGAAAGGTTGAGACTGTGTTTTGGGTTTGTTTTCTGTTTGCTTTGCTAGTTTTAGAGCAAAGAATTGAAGCATGAGAAAGAAGACCCTGGGATATAACTCTTGTTATCACTGCTCATATTTCATATAGACTAGGTATTTACTAGATTTGCTACATAAATATCCCTGAAGAAAAAAATAAAATAAATACATAAATAAAGGTAAGAAAGACTTTCGCTGCTGGAGTACACCACCAGCTGTACTTCATTCAGATGCAGAAATAAGAACAGGAGCCTTTCAACTCTTGTTGATTTGTCAGTCTCAGCACCCAAGGCTCACCCAGTGCAGAAGAACTGCCTAATAAAGAGGGGCAAGAGCCAGACCTGGGAAGGGGTCAGTAGAGGGAAGAGATATAGCTCTGTAGTGCCAGTAAGTTTGCCTTTCCATGGGAGAAAATCCAGTTTCCCATATTCATATTTTTTCCTTTTGGCACTCATGTATGTAACTCATTCACAGAATATCTTTCTGTAGGGCTGGTCCTCAGGGAGGATGATAATGTGTTTCTGAGGATTCATTAGCTCAAGCAGCAGTGAATCAGAAAGCTCCTGATGAGACCAATATTCATCAATATGAGGAAATTTGGGAATTTTCTACATTTTTCTCTGACAAACAAGCAAAAGTTTGCATGCCCACATCCTGCAACTCCTTTAACAGCTATTGACGTTTAGAGAGAGAGAGAGAGAGAGAGAGAAATAATTTTAAAAAGCATAGAAAGATGCACAAAAAAATTTGAAATTGCATGATTATTGTAGTTTTGAACTTCAGGTCTCCTGCCTCATGTGATGCCTCTTATAGAGCTGTTTTGGGAGTGAATCAAGGTCTGTTCAAATGAATCTTGCTTAATTTGTTCAAGAAAATGGATATTGAGCAGAAGATCAAGCTACTATTAAAGGAAAAGGTGTCCCTGTATGACAGAAGATTTTGCCCCAGAGAACTGGAGCCTATTTCTTATTTTTCCACTGAGGTCTTGTGTGGCCCTGAAAAAATCAGTAGACCAAAGTTTTCTCAGGCAATCTCTACGTTATAATTTTCCAGCTGTCTGACATGGGAGCTATGACTTATATGAGAACAGAGATATCACAGCTGCAGCTGGAGATTGCAATTTTTAATTTGAACATATACATTTCTAAATAGAACAAAGCTCAATGCAAATTCAGAATGCAGTGCTTCAAACAGGAGATTCAATTTGATAAATATTTATCTTTAGTCTCTCTGTGCCTAAATTCTCCCTTCTTATGTTGGGAATAATAGCATCTGTCCCTATCCTCCCTGCCAACGCACACACACAGAGGAAACGAACTATCCTGTTGTGAGAATAGGGGTCAAATTCCATCTGTTAGATGTGAAACATCTGTTTCACATGTAAGAAGCTCCTGGCTCTCCCTGTCCAAAAAGATAAGATTGCAACTGTTGCCCAGGACAGCAATTTGGAGAAGTTAAAGGAGAGAAGCTCAGTTCTTCAGGGCTGAAAGGTGATTTTCCTAGCAGGAAAATTACTTGACCACTTAAGTCTGTTAAAATCAGTGCAAACCTATTGACTTAAGCAGGCTGGGGCACAGAGAAGGAAAGTTTCTTCCTCAGGCTCCAGATTCTGAATTTTTGTTTACTGACACGGTTTAATAAATTCGTGTTGGATGCATCCTTTTAATCAAATGTTTGATTTTGAAGCATCTAGTGGGAGCTGGATGCAACGGTGCAGGGAAAAGGCTTAAGCTACCTCTTGAGAAGTTGTGATCTAGTCTGTTGTCTCCTTACGTTCTGTTATGAACCCACATTCTGCTGTAAAGTTCACAAAACAGACCAGAAAAGGAGTCATCCTCCTGTCCATACCAAAGTTGCGTGGCACTTCACTCTGAGGACCTAATTATTTTCAGAACAAAAAAAAAGGTACCAAATAAGGCTCTAGAGAACTGGTCTGTTTTAGATGGAGAATGATTGCATGACCATTTTGTTTAATGAGCATTCTTTACAAAGATAGGTTTAAAACATTATGTTGACTATGCTGGAGGCCCAGATCACTGGTTAATCAACAGAACAGACATTTGGGTAACAGCCACATGAGTGAGCAGCATGTGTCTCCAGAAAGCTGAAGCTAGTGAAGAGGATTAAGGATTTACTGAAGTTGCCTGCTTCATTTCGTGATAGTCCTGCTTTGGACTACGTGCAGGTCAGAGACTATATGATTCATCTTCATTCTTTCCATACTTCTACTCCATAATATTGCTACTGATACACTCTATGAAGTTCAGTTAATACCTAATGGCTTGTCTTACACTCCACTAATACACAACAGTGCTCAAGCAGTGTTGAGGGCAAGGAAGGAAGGCACCATGCCACTTCAGTCAGCACAGAGGGGAAAAAGAGAGTCTTTTATTGCCAACCACCATAAGAAGAGAAGAAAGAAATTACGGATATAGCTGAAAGCAGAAGGGAGAAAAAGATGTGCTCTGTTTCATTAAAGGCATCAGGAATGTAAAAGCAAAATTTCTCTTCCTCTGAGGCAGAATGGTTGACGCTGCATATTAGGTTTATCCTCACAAAAACTTTGCAAAGCTCTAGAGACTTTTTGCAAAACCCAAATAATGAAGGTACAAACCTAGGATCATTTTAGCTGCATTATTAAAGCTTGGATAATTTTGTCTGGCCAAAAGCCTGGATTTTTATCTTAACTCTGTAATAAACAAAAGTCCAGTTTTGTAAGATCAGGTTTACTTGATAACTGAGTTCTATTTTTACCTGAACTACACAATCCAGAAAGGATTTAACTCACCTGTGGTGTGCTACCCTTCTAATATTTATCTGCTTTGTGGAAAGGATGTCATGATGCTGTAGTACCAGTGAGTGGTGTTTGACAAATTAGAGACATGCAGGTGTATCTGTATGCTGATATTTATATGCCTCTCATTTTGTGCTTGGTTCTTAATCCCCAGCTGCCCATGTTGTCTATGTGATTGTGTTCACTTTATATCTGTTTCACTTTATATCTGTTTTTACATGAGTTAAGAACTTCCTTTGCTAAGGGCTCTTGAGTAGGAAAAAAAAAAAAAAAAAAAAAGGCACACCAAAGTCTCATCCTTGCAATATGGATGGAGTTGCTTGCTCCTTTGCTCCTTGTTCTCCAGGTACCCCATGGGGTCCTGGTGTCCTACTCCCTCACTGGTGTCGTGGCCTCTCTTGCCCAGAGCTCAAGCAGTTGTACTAGAGCATCTTCTCAAGGAGTTGTGTGTGCTGCAGCGAGAACCCATGCTGATGTAGCCTAATGGTATGAATAACTGCAGACCTGAAGGAGGGGTGGGAGAAGAGAGGGTGAGTGGGCTGCTGCCATGTGTCTTCCAGGTGCTGATTTGTACCAAGATCATTTCTGGTGCAAATAGATGCAAAGTAGAAGACTTCAGCTGTAGTAGGTTGCTCTCCTATGGCATCTTGCTTTCCCAAGGTTGTTGATCCAGGTAGTTATATGGATGCATTTAAAGTGTCAAGCAATTACAGAATGGGCAGATCTGCAAAATCTGCTGGGGTTTCACAGAATGCAGAAATTTCACTCAGCTTTGTTCATGTTACTCATTGTAAATAAGTACAGTGCTGATGTTAAATTTTGGACCAGATATCATGTTTGGATCCACTTTTCTGGACTGGGAACATCTGTGGATTCTGTTAGTAAAACAGCTGCTTTATGCTGTGTTTATTTTAAAAGTCTTTACCACTATGATGTGGGTCCTTGTTTCATGGACAAACTACCTTTGTTATATTTAATAGGCTATAAATTGTATCCTGAAAGTTGATGTTTTGTTTACAATCAATTTATGGCTAGAAAGGCATTTAATGAAAGCATATTGAGATTTTCTGCTGTTATAATCTGTGACACTCTGTTTCCCATATGCTCAAGATGTACAGCATCTGTTCTGTTTCCAATGTGAGTGGCAGTTTTACAGTGCACAGAGCTGCTAATAAAAGGTTACTGTTGACAGTTCAGTCACAATATAAAGCTCTTACAGCTTTTGAACATGTAAAGATATTTAATTTGTTTTTAATTATCATTTTGGTGCTTAACTTGTAATAGGATTTTTAAAAAATAATTATTGTCTTGTAAAGCAAACTGGAATAACGAACCTTAATTTCGGATGCTTCCCTGGAAGATTCATCAGTACTGCTGTACAGCTACTGGGTTAGTCTTTAATGAGTACTGCTAAGGAAGTTGTGTAGGGGAAAAAAAAAAAGGCATAAAATAAGTCATTAGCAATAAAGTATCTGATAAATAAAAACATAAACATAAACATAATAATAATAATAATACAGCAGTACAAGGAGCAGTGGACATAGCTGTGTCTAAAACTGAGATTGGCAGGACAGTGTGGGCCACGTGCCCTTAACTACACTCAGCCGGTCAAACGCGACACCAGGATTTTGTCCAGTTGTCAATCTATTTCAGCTACTAAAGAGAAAATAAAAAAGACCAGAGATCTTGATTTCACCTTCTGTAGATCTCCTAATGATGTCTATGCTTTTAAACCACTGAGGGCTGACATCAAAGTCCAGGCTTTGTGCAGTCCTCCATCTGCAGAGCACAGAGAGCACACTCAAGAGCAACACCGGCCTGACCTTACACTGAATTTATGGGGTTGTCCCCTTGGCCAGGGCAGCCAGCTGGGGCTAGTTGCAACCTGGTGTTTGTCCTATATTTGTTGTTTACCCTTCAAGTAGTAAAGCCTTGTTTTCTGGGTATCTCCATACCTTTCTGT